CAGCCCAGGCACGGTTCATGGCATGGGGACCTCCAGGCACAGCTCCACAGCCCGATGCTGGTTGTGCCTCGGGTGGTCACTGGCTCCACGGCCACGACTGCAGGACCTCCGATGGGCTCAGCTTTGGCAGGGGTGGGCAGATCCCTCCTGCAGCACAAGGGCACTGGTTTCCCCAAGCACCGGCAGCTCCATGCAGGGTCGGAGCACTTTGGGATTGGGTCTCAGCTGCGGGACCATGATGGTTGCAGGAGCAAAGCTGCTCCCCGAGTGCTCTCCTCCCAAGTCTCATGTAAGGAAACCTTTCCTGACCAAATGACAGCTCAGAGAGATTGATATTGAACTCTCAGGAGGAACAGTAAAACCAGCACTGCCCCACCCCGGAAGCCACTGATTGATAGACACAGAATGATTGTACCTCTCCATACATCTGGGAAAGGAGCCCAGACATGGTGGCTGGACAGGAATAGCACTGAATTAGGAAAGCCTCCTTTCCCCATTGCACCTTCCTTGCTAAGCCCTGACTGGTGATGCTGAACCCTGGAAAGCATCCCGCTGAGGACAACACTTCAAAGCATCCTGATACGTGGAGGTTTAACACATGCTTCCCTCTACTAAAAGAAGCTCCCATACTTTGCAGGACTCTTCACATCCCTGACCAAGGATAGTTGATACCACGGCACAGAGGGGCTCCAGCACCCCTGGCCTAACTCTGTGCCATGAACATCGCCAAGCTCTGGCTGGCACATAAGTTTTTCTGTGGGTACACAGGCTGGCACATAAGTTTTTCTGTGGGTACACAGCAGCTGAAAGGTTTTCTGACAGATCTGCTCATGCTTCCCAGAAGAGGCCAGAAGCTGGAGATCACAGAATCATAGGCTCATGGAATGGGTTGTGTTGGAAGGGACCTTAAAGCTCATCCAGTTTCCATCCCTGCCACGGGCAGGGACACCTTCCACTAGAGCAGGCTGCAGGTCCGTGCTGGAACATGGAGTGTGGAGCACAGGGTCTGGTCTGCACTCCACTTACCCCCATGCCTGGACCAGTCCTTAGGGTCCCACTTTGGGCTGTTGTGCCCATGGATTGTGCCACGTTTTGCACAGTGCTTGGGGTAGGGATAAACCAGCAGCTCCCCTTTCCAGTTCTGCTTGCTTCCAGCCCTGAATGCAGCCTAAACCCGTGTCTTTGAACTCCAGCGTAGGGAAGGGGTGGCTGGAAACTGCAGGGCAGTGTAAGCAGCACTGCCAGCATGTTCCTGAGCTGTACCAGCCCCAGCTCCACACGTCAGTCACTGGTGTCAGTCACTGGTGTCGGAGCTGCTGCCAGGGTGATTGCATCAGGTGCTGGAGGAGCAGGTAAGCTGTCCCTGGGGCACTGCTGCTGGGAGCACTCATGGGCCCTACAGCTGCTCAGGGCGCGAGTGCGGGTCTGAGACAGCTCTCGCTTGTTGGATCCACTGCGATGGGTTTAGAGCAGAGCCCGCAGCACCGGCCACGCTGCTCCTGAGGCCCTCACAGATGGGGCTGGAGGCATTCCTGCCCTGGAGACACCCGGTCACAGCAGCACTGCTCCTGAGTGAGAAATAGCCAGATTTATCACCCCTGGTGTGGGCTGGGTGGAAGCCCCGCTCCAGCATTCCCTCTCCTCCCTTAGCAAGCTTAAGGGGCAAAGCTGGGGCATGTTTGCTCACATCTGCCTCTTGCAGCTTCCCTGTACTCTTCTCAGCAGTGTCATGGTGTAGAGCTGAGCTGGTTCTAACAACTGGTGCTAAAATAGGAAGGGCTGGGGTCTTTTGTAGGGTTTAAAACTTGCTGTGAGCACTGAGAGTCCTCTGGAAGTCATTACTCTTGTTACTGCACAGTAAGACCAGGGAAGAACTGCTGCTGGCTCTGGGTGAGTGATGAACCCCCCGTGTGCTGGGCTGCACCCCCAGAGCGTGAGCAGCAGCTGTGATCTGCTGTGCTCTGGGAACACCCCCCTGCAGTCCTGATCCAGCTCTGGGGCAGCAGCACAAGAGGGACGTGGAGCTGTTGGAGAGAGGCCAGAGGATGCCATGGAGATGCTGCGAGGCCTGGAGCAGCTCTGCTCTGGAGCCAGGCTGAGAGAGCTGGGCTGGGGCAGCCTGGAGAAGAGAAGGCTCCTGAAGGGGAGACCTGAGAGCAGCTCCAGTGCCTGAAGGGGCTGCAGGAAAGCTGGAGAGGGGCCTGGGACAAGGGATGTAGGGCCAGGCCAAGGGGAATGGCTTTAACCTGCCAGAGGGGAGACTGAGCTGAGCTCTTAGGCAGAAGCTCTTCCCTGTGAGGGTGCTGAGGCGCTGGCACAGGGTGCCCAGAGAAGCTGTGGCTGCCCCATCCCTGGCAGTGTTCAAGGGCAGGTTGGACACAGGGGCTTGGAGCAAGCTGCTCTAGTGGGAGGTGTCCCTGCCTGTGGCAGAGGTTGGAGCTGGAGGAGCTTTAAGGTCCCTTCCAACCCAAACCAGTCCGTGGGTGATTGCAGTCATTTGCTCTTTATGGGGCAAGGAAACTCCAGCAGCACTTCAGGGTGCACACTGAACTGGAGCTCATACCCAGATGTGGGCATGAAGGTGACATCACAGTGGGAATCCAGGATACCAGCCCCCATGACCCCACGAGCCCTTATCCATGCATGTCTCCAGGAGGGAGTGTTGGAATGTCGTAGAGTCATAGGATCATAGAATAGGTGCATTTACAGACACTGGGGGTCACCTGCCTCCTTCCACAGTAAGATCGTTTATGCCACAGAGGAGGGGGGTCAGTGTTAGTGCTATCCCCATCTGCAGGTTACACCCAGGATGGGTCCAGTTAATGTAAAGTTAGATAAAACCTCACTTTAACATCCTCAGAGAGAGGGGTGCAACAGGGGTGGGCAGTGCCTTTGGGCAGCTTTAACTGCTGTTCAAGCCCAGGAATGGGCCTGCCTGCAGCAGGGTGTCATCGCAACAGAGCCTGCTGACCTTTGAGATGCAGGAGGAACGTTTCCTCTTTGAACTGCCCTGCAGAGATAATGAATTTTGTAATGGATTTCCTGTTCTTTTTATAGCGCGGAGGAGCTGGCAGATCACTTCTGAGCTGCTTCAGTCGGGGCTGGGCTGTAATTGTGTTTGCTGCATAACCTGATATTTTCTTAAAACGTGGTTTTCTTTGGCTTGATGGAAAGCATCGCAGCGGGATTCAAACAGGCTTCAGTGGGAGCAGAGAGGAATATCTGGGAGCAGCAAACAGTGCTCTGGGGGTGCACGGGAAGAACCCAAAGACATGAACTATGTCCTGTGATAAGATCAAAGGTCCCTCTCACCCAGCGCTGACCCCAGCTGTGGCAGGAGGAGACAGCACGTGTGCCCAGCCCTTTCTGCCATCTCCCAAAGGGCTTCTCCAGCATCCACCCGTGTTACGTTAGGGAAGTTAAAGGGCACATCCCTCTGTTGCTTCTGCTGTCTCTTGTTTGATTTGTCATCCATAAACCCACCTTGAACCCATGCTCCAACTCACCTTCACTTCAAGAGAACAGTTTCACTGCCCAGTGCTGGGAGCTCTTTGCATTGGATGCACAAATGCAAAGTCCACCCAGTGTCCCAGCTGCAGTCAGGCATTTATAACCCCTGCATCTAAGTGGAGAGTGCCCTCTCTGCTGCTGGACTTTTATCTGCATGTTGAAGCTGTTAATCTGGCTTTCCCTTCAGGTAATATTTCTTTCACTGTCCCCCTGCAGATCTGGGCAGCAAAGGGGAGGATCTGATCAATTCCCTCTCATCTTTCTCTTCCTTTTTTGCTGATTCCTGGGCTATTGCCTTCCCCTCACCTGTGCAGGCTCCTTCCTCTCGCCAGGCACTGTTCTGTGCCCCCCACATGCTCCTCATCCACTGAGCACATCCCCCTACCTGAGACCCTCACCCAGGGCGCATGGCAGTGCCCTGCAGAGCCAGCCCCACTCTGTCTCCTCCTGATGTCCTGAGTGAGCCCCCTGCACAGTGTCCCTTGGACACCACAACCATCCTCTGCCCCAAACACCCCATGGTGCAGCCTCCCATCTCTACCAGCAGGCACAAACCAACAGACATGAGACCAGAGCAGCAGCATGAGCATCCCTTGGGAAATCTTGGCTTTAATTTAACCTTATATTCTTGTTACAAATGACCAGTCTGGAATCCCATTAAATTCTTGGTCTTAGTGACTTCTTATTGTATTAACATTGCACTGACTGCCTCCTTATCCTTGGTTGAGAGACACGAAAGCAGGACCCCTGCTCCCTCTCTCCAAGCCATTTGGTACTCCTGGTCCTATTGCATCCTTTAGGACCCCCATTTATGACCGTATCGTCAGGCTGCAACCAGTCACAACCTGGTGATGCTCTACATGTTGCTGCATGGTTTTCTGCTCCTGAGTCCTGACATTGGTCTGATTTCTGCCTTCAGCTGCCCCCAGAGCAGGAGTTTTGTGTGAGTGTCCTCTGCCCCTTGCAGCTAAATCAATAGAGTCCTGCCTAGTGCCAAGGCAGGGTTGCACAACCGAGGAGAGTGTTGCCTGGCGTGATGGATGGCTGAGGAGCAAACAGAGGTTTACTGGGTCCAGGGCCAGATCACACACCTTGTCCACCCCATTCACAACCTGGCACCGGCTGTCAGGGGACACACACACACGTCTGCACCACCCAGGAAACCAGGCTCAGGGCCAGGCTGAGCTGGGGCAGAGGGATGTGTGTTACTGCAGTACTCACAACCCAGCTTCCTGGCTGGGACCTGCTTCCTCGAGGTCTCCAGCACTGGTGGAGGGGATCTCCCAGTGCATGGCAATGGCCATCCTTGGTCACATACTGGTGGGAACCTGGCAGTGGTGTTGAGGTGAGCCCAAGCTCCCTGGTTAATCCTGTGAGCCAGACTGTGGTAGCACAAACGCTTCCACTTGAAGGCCAGGAGTACCTTGGACCATATTTGCAGACAGAAAAGCTGATGTGGCACCAGTTTCAGAAATAAGGGAGCTTGGCCAGGAGGAGGTTAAATACTGTCCCACAGGAAATGAGCTCTTGGTCCTGAGCACAGTTCCCACAGCTACACCTTCATGATCCTTGACTACAGTGAGCACATCTCCCTTTTAACCGACCTCCTGGGTGTCTGTTGGCCTGGAGCAGCAGGATCTGTTACCCTCTGCTTTTGCAGTGTCTCCTGATGCTGTGCAGAGCTTCCAGCGTGTCTGGCATATTAGAGAGCTTGAAGGGATTGTGGCTCCAGGATGGTGCAGAGACTGAAAGTACAAATGACTCAGAAAAGTGGGCAATGCAGGAGGAGGTGGACATGTTGGCTGTACAGTGGCCATTAAACAGTGCTCTGGAGCAACCTCTGCCTCGGCTCTGAGCTGCTGTTAGCTGGGAGGTGAACATTAACCAGGAGAAAAAAGAAGAGGAGAGATTCAGGTTAGATATAAGGAAGAGGCTCTTCCCTTCCCTCATCATCAGCAGCTGATGGAGGTTATCACACCCTTCCATCCGAAACCAAAGAGCAAACACAATGCAAATTGTCTCTTCACACCCCTCTGCTTCCCACTTGGAAGAGGCAATGGGGCTGCCTCAGCTTCCCCATGTATGTGCAGCCTGCAGAGAGGACCTTGGTGAGGCCTCCTTTCTGTTTCCTTTCTGATCAGCACCAGCTACCTCCTCACGCTCACACGCTGCTGTGATGGGGAGCCTGGCTGGGCCGACCAAGGGCTGCAGTGGGATCCAGGCTGGATCAGCACTGCTGGAAAACCTGCCTCTCATCAGTGCCTGAATGCAGAGCTGGGACCTGGGTGTTATGGGCTTGTTTGTATTGACCCTGATCTGCTTCCAGGCTGAGACCAGCTCTCCAGGCTGAGAACTTGTGCTTCGAATTTGCCTTTCAAAGTAAACCAGGCCTGCTGAAAACATAAAATGAAAGCAAAAGCCACGTGGAAAGGAGCCGTGCTTTCCCTGGTGAATCGCCCCAGGGCATGTGTTTATTAAAGGCAGAAATAGAGTGGTGGAGATAAGGAACCTGTCTTTCTGCCTGTGGTCCAGTTCTGGTTGCATGAATAGGCTGATGGTTATGCTTTATGGGTGGCTCTGCAGACAGCATCAGTGCAAACAGAACAGCTTTGCTGCTGCAGGCCTTCGTGAAACACCCTCTGCCAGTGGGAGCAAAGAATGCTGCTCGTGATGCTGCTCCTCACCTTGACCCTTTGGAGCAATAAATAAAGCTTGTGAATGCTCCACACTGAGCAAGGAGTGAGATCCAGTTTGCAACCATGTCTCAGCCAGCAGCTGTAACACATCAATGACAGGACATTGTCCATGGGCATCACAGCTCGTCCTCCTGAGCTTTGGTGCTGCCTGTTCTGGCGGCCTCCACTGCTACAAAGTGCTCTGGAACTACATCGTCCTGCTTCTCCTCCATGGTGACCCTGGATGAACCATCCCTGGTCTCCCAGCTTCCACAGCTGAGCTGCAGTTTACTGGCACCAATGTTCACACCGGGCTTCACTCGCACTCTGTAGCCGGTTGGTTCCTCTCTGCGGATGCATCTTGCAGAAGCTGCTGGGTGAAAGCAGGTTACTTGGGTTACATCCCCAGTGTGTGATGTTGGGTTGATCACTGGACAGGAGGGTGATGCAGAGAGCTTGGAACCTGCCATGCGGGGCTCAGCTGCAAAATCCTGATCTCTTTTTCACTGGGGTTACTTGGATGAAATACAAAGTTCATTTTCCCACTGGAGACTGATACAGTGCGTTTCACCTGTAGGGAAGAGACCTAATGGGATGAAATCCTCTAGGAGAGTACAGGGACGTGGTTCTCACTACAGCTAACAACAGAGGTGGGTAGAGAGGAGGGGAGCCTTCCCGGGAAGGTCCTGGGCTGCCCTCAGCGGTTGAAGAAGAAGGACCTGAGGGTCTGCAGACACTGTGACTTCTGTCTCTGCTTCTGCTTCTTCCGGATAATGGGGATCCAGACCAGGCCACAGACAAGGAGCATCAGTCCCAGGGACAGGAAAGCCGGGCCACACATTTTGTAGAATTTTTTGTTGTTGCTTTGGATGCAAGTCAGGCTGGTGATGACCACCCCGAAGAGGAAGACGCCTGCTCCAACAGACATGACAATGAGCGGCTTGCGGTATATGTTCCACTTGCTTCTGGATGTGGTGGTCCAGACAGACTCGCTCCGGGAGCTGATGCAGAGGGTGCTGGCTGTGTTACTGGTCAGCAGCTCCTTGGACTGTGGAGACTTCCGACTCCCGTCAGGGCTCTTGGGAGGAATTTCCATGGTGACAGGATCTGGAGAGGAGACCTGAGATGGACAAAAGAGAAAAAGCAGAGCAGGGCTAGTGGTGGAGGATGGATTGGGTGCTTTCCATTTGGTCATTAATCAGTGTCAAGTCAAAGGAAGGTGGAGGAGGCTTTGTGGGTCACTGTAGGGAGAGATGAACATCACACCTATGAGAGCAGTGAGATGTAGAAATAGGCAACAGGGTTCTGCAGGTAGGCGGGGATGGGGATGCCTGCAGTGTCCCACTACCCGCCCATGAACAGTAAGACTCCTGCAGTCCTTGTCCCTGTCCTTAGACCTTTCAGCTCACCAGCTTCTAGCTCCCACAGGGGTTCAGTGGTGAGATCCCACAGGTCTCCATTGGAACCTACCATCCTGAGCCTCCTAGGGCTCTTGGCTGCTTTCAGGGCAGTAGCAGGGTGCTGCTAGCAGGGCTGGTGATGCTGCCTGTATCCCTGGACCCGCTTTCCCTCTCAGATCCCAATTACCCCTCAGAACCCTGTGGCATGGTCATGCCTCCCTCTTGCAAGTGGGGAAACTGAGGCATAGGTGTGCTATGTGGTAGAGCAGAAAGCACCCTCCTATGGGCTGAGCACTTCCTTTGGGCCCTGGGGTTTGCTGTTCCTCACTGCCATATCCAGCCTTGGCATGTCAGCTCTCCAGTAGTGGCTACACAGGAGCTTCTCATTTCCTATTTGAATGCACAGATGGGAGATGGAGGAATGCTCATCATACAGGGACTGTTTCTGCAGCTGGAAGCTGGGCAGGATGCTGAGGGAGGGCTCTTGAGCTCAGCAGCAGGAGCACACCCACATGCTCTGCCTTGTGATGGCAGGGTCAGCAGGGTGGCTTTTCAGCACATCAGTTTTTCACCAGCTCAGGGGGGAAATGCATTTTCCCAGAAACAATGTGCCTTTAGCACGGAGAAAACGTTCTGGTAAAGGGGAAGGGCTGAGCATTACATTAACCACTATTTCCTTAGGACTCTGCTGAGGAGATAAAGGCAGGACGCTGGATGTGGGAGTGTTCGTGATGTAGCCAGCCCTGCTGCTGGGAAGCCCAGCAGGGTTGAACCCATGAAGGTACCAGAGCTGGGGCTGGGGCTGATTCACACCCAGGAATCATTTCTACAAAGCAAACTTCTGCCTGAGCTGCTGGGTTTTCTGCCAGGGGCTCAGTGGTGTCAACAGGGCTGGGACTGCCCTGTCCTCTGATGGACACTCAGCTGTCCCCACGTGGGGATGCTCTGCACCATGCGAGCTTTGAGCCTAAGTGGGCTTGGATCTAAAGCACTTGATCTAAAACTCTGCTCCAGCCCTAGGCACTGTCTTAAGGAAACCTGCTTGTATTTAGCTCATACTGGGCCCAGTGCCCATCTAGGGATGCTGATGGCTGGGTACCAGCCAGCACCCCCCTTATTCTTCACCCTGTGTCCCCTGCCAAGGGTTGTGATTTATTCTGAGAAGAAACAGACATCATTTTTCAATTGAGTCCTCCCAGCACAGACACTGATGCAGAAATGCGGATCTGGTGGTATCCACGTGTTTTGTGATGTTTCAGGTTTGCCAGACTTGGACCAACAAGCAAAAATCAAAAGGCAAGAGCAGTGGACATGGTTTGCATCCTTCCTGTCTTCAGCTTTCAACCCTCTCTGCTGAACCAGGAAAGACGAAGCAGAAGAGGGGACATGTTTCTGCCATCCTGATATGTCTCCTACAGCACTTGATCGGGTGATCAAGCACTTGACAGGGCAGGTGAGTTTTGGCATAATAACAAGCTGTGGTTTCTGTTTTCTCTTCTCTTTTGAGCTGCAGGCTGGACTGATAGCAGTGAAGGATGCTGACCCCTGGGCTTTGGAGAAGCAGGAGCTGCCATGAGATGTTACTTTGATGGCTACAGCTGCATTGGACATGCAGGGGATTGGGCACAACTTCCTCTGCTCACCTCATTGCTCCTGTAAGTTCTGGCTCCAGGCAGCCACAGGCTCCTCAGACAAAACCAGGTACTGACAGTGACATCCAGTTCCTGAGGAGACACCGAGGCTGGATCTGCCTCCACCAACACATTTGCCCTGCTTCCACCTATGCACCTAAGCAACCTGCACTGGAGTCAGCCCAGACCTCCAGAAAACCCATCAGCTCTGCAGAGATGTGCTCACATCCTGGATAACTTCTTGCTTGTCTGGTGTGTGCAGCCTGACTTGCTCATAGCATTGCTGGGGTGTGATCCCCCTGTTCCAGCTCAAACCTTTCATGGAATTACAGAATCCCAAACTCGTTTGTGTTGGAAGGGACGTTAAAGCTCAACCAGCCCCAACCTGTGCCATGGCAAAGCCTCTCTCTAGGTTTCTTTAGGCACTGGAGCTGCTCTAAGGTCTCCCCGAACCCTGAAATTTCATGCTGTGCAGTCACTGGTGTTTCTTGGCTTTATCCTTGCAACATCCATTCTGAAGAGATTTATGCTCAAGCCACTGGATGATTTTAATTTGGCTTTGTGACTGGAAATCTGCTTTCTGCTCTGGAGAAATGCCCAGATCTCATCTCTCAGCAGGCTAATGCAGCCTGTGCTGCCCCATCGCTCAGGCACCCTGCTCCCTGCCTTGCCCGTGCGCTGCTGCCCTGCCTCCACACTCCGGGAGCTCTGCAGAGCATTAGCGTCTGGCTCTTGCAGAAGCCATCACCTTCCGCTCAAGTTTGCACTCCCACCACAGGGGATGTTTCCTCCCCCTTTTGTGCTCTGACAAACCCACCCCTCTCACCACAGCTCCCAGACATCGACCGTTTCTGTAGCACTTCCGAGCAGAGCGTGGCTCTGGTCACACGTTTCCTCACTGTTGGCTAGGGAAGGATTTCACCCCCTGCAAGTGCCTGGGACGTTGTCTGTGAGCGCTGCGTGTATCTGCAGCTCTGGGGAGAGTTAATGCAATTTCAGTTCCCGCTCTGCCCGTGCTCCATCCCTAATTCATCACATGCGCGCTCACACTTGATGTCCTGAGCAGCCTGGCAGGATAATGCTATCAGATTCCTCCCAGGTTTTTAAACCATTATCAGTGTAAGGAGCAGATGAATGCTCGCTGCCTTGAAAACACCTCCAGAGCACATCTTGGATTTCATGTCTGGTGTTTCCGCTGCTGCTGCCTCTGAAACCCTGGGCAGCTGCTGGCACCGGAGCCAACACTGGGGTTTTCTTCCTCCCCTCTCCATAAGGAAGACCCTTATGGGATTCTGCTTCTCCTCCCTTTGCTCTTCCAGTGTGCTGATGTTTGGTTTCTGAGCTCAGAGACCCACTGGGGCACACTCGCTGGTGCCAGTGGGGACCCCAGTGCCAAGGCAGCAGAGCACACAGTCAGGTACCTCCTAGACCCTGGGGACATCACATGGTGGTGCTGAGGAGAGACCTTTGCACTGAGAAGCACCCAAGGGCTCGGCCCGGGGTCCCTCAGCCCACCTCACCCCAAGTTCTGGGATGCTGCAGCAATGGCCAGAGCTGCACTGAAAGTGAAGCAACAGCCTGATCTGAAGGGTCTGCTCCTGGGCACAGACCTGTGTCCTCCTGGCCATGCAAGAGCTCGATTTACTCCCCCAATTCCATTCTCAGCCTGTCCATCTCATTATCATTTGGGTGGCAGCCCTGATTCTATGAGTCCTGACTCTTTGACTATGGGGGACTGCATTCAGCTCTGGGGCAACAGAACAAGAGGGACGTGGAGCTGTTGGAGCGAGGCCAGAGGAGGCCATGGAGCTGCTGCGAGGGCTGGAGCAGCTCTGCTCTGGAGCCAGGCTGAGAGAGCTGGGCTGGGTCAGCCTGGAGAAGAGAAGGCTCCTGACGGGGAGACCTGAGAGCAGCTCCAGTGCCTGAAGGGGCTGCAGGAAAGCTGGAGAGGGGCTTGGGACAAGGGATGTAGGGACAGGCCAAGGGGAATGGCTTTAACCTGCCAGAGGGGAGACTGAGCTGAGCTCTTAGGCAGAAGCTCTTCCCTGTGAGGGTGCTGAGGCGCTGGCACAGGGTGCCCAGAGAAGCTGTGGCTGCCCCATCCCTGGCAGTGTTCAAGGGCAGGTTGGACACAGGGGCTTGGAGCAAGCTGCTCTAGTGGAAGGTGTCCCTACCCGTGGCAGGGGTTGGAGCTGGAGGAGCTTTAAGATCCCTTCTAACCCAAAGCATTCCATGGTTCTATTAATCTGAGTGTGCTGGGGCTGAGGTGGGCTCTGCCCTGATCACGGGGAGGTGCTGATGTGGGACAGGACCCTGTGAGCTGTGAGGGCAGGACCGAGCGCTGGGAGCTCACTCACCATTCCGAGCCTCTGCTGTCCCGGCTCTCCCTGGTGTGTAGCTGCTCGCTGCAGGATGTGGGGCTGGCGGCAGCACTGAACATCCCCTGAGCTCCTCACGGAGGAACCCAGCCACCAGCTCCTGTAGGCACCGCAGGGGCGGCTCAGAGCATCCGGCTTCCTGCTGCTGTGTCAGCCCCAGGGGTTGGATCCTGAGTGGGCTCTGCTCTGGGAGGAGACAGGGAGAGTTGTGCGGTGCCAGGCATCAGTGCTCACACCCCATCCTCCCTCCTCCCGTCCCCACGTCCCTGTGGCCTGCAGTGTGGAGCGGGCTGGCAGTGCCTGTGTAGGCTGTCCCAGCGCACTGGCTGCTCTGCTCCGAGACCAGGGCTGGAGGAACAACTTGTCAGGGGGTTTCACATCACCCACAAACCCCACCAGATCATGGGTGTAAACTGACTTGGAGCCAGTGTCCATTTGCTGGTGCAGCTGAGCTGGGTTGGGCCCAGCCGCCTGCATCCCTTGGGAGCAGCTTTCCAGCATCCCCCGGAGTTTAGGCAGTCCCAGCAACACGCACAGGGTCTTGCTAAGCAAAGAACATCTGCAAGTCCCTCCTTGGGGCGCAGCAAGAGGATGACCCCCACCTTGCTGTGCTGTATCCCCTCTCCTTTCCCACCACCCTAGATCCAAACCCATGGAAACCCATCCTACTTACGTTGAGTGGCGAGGGATGGCTGCCCACCGCACTGGCAGTGGGACAGGCTGCAGCAGAAGGTCCCACTCTCCTGAGCCAGGCTCACCCCAAGCCTCACATCCCTCTGGATGTTGTCTAATGTGCTCTGTTGAGTCTAATAAACAATGGAGCACATCCCAGCTCTGATGACCTCACCAGACTATCAGTATATTGTTTAACTCTTTGCTTCCCTGCCTTGGGCCCCTGCAAAGCTGTCTGCGAGGCAGGTTGCCTGGGGGGGCTCTATAGGAGGCTGCAGTCTGGGAGGCAGTGCAGTGGTGTGCCAGGGGGCACTGGTACTTGGAGCAAGGATCTAGGATTGGAGCTGTTGCTGATCCACACTTGGATCATCAGCAAGTTCCTGAATCACATCTGGACTGAAAATTCTGCACTCTCCAAACAAGGGTCGTAGTGACTGCAAAACGCTCTGAGGCTCCTTGGTGAGACGTTACAGGAATGCAAGATATGAGCAACCAGCTATTAATTAGCATCCTGACTCCATTACAAGGAGGGGGATGCAAGAGGAAGATGGTTCTGGCATCCTGCCTCCTTTCACAGACCCACAGCCAAACTTTAATACCCTCTGACATCAGTGGGAATCCACTTGCTGCAGGGAAGGGATCCAGCCCAACACAGACATTACTGGCGCCCAGGGCCGGGTTCCAGCGTCCGTGAGGCTGCCTGCATCCCCAAGGCATCTTTGTTGGGTTGATGCAGTGAGTAATGGTACATAAGCTGCACCATGGAACTGGTCAAGGAGAGAGATGGGATTGGATGGGGTGGGATGGGCAAGCAGCTGTGGAACTCTCGTGGAGACGGACATGACCCACAGGGGTAGTGCGCTGGATGAAGAGCATCCTGTGGGGCTGGAAGGGGAGGAGGAGGGTCCAGAGGGACTGTGGGTCAGAATGGGGGGAAACCAGGTCCTACAGGTGTGGGGAGCTGAGGCAGGAAGACCAGAGGCTGTCAACATGGGGTCCCTCAGCTCTGCTCTGTGGAAACCTCTGGCCAGTGGTAGGTGGACATGGGACAGGCTGTGGAGCTCTCCAGTAAGAGGCAGCCAGGGCAGCAAGCTCACAGGCAGAGAGGTGGGATGAGTTTAGCATCCTTGCCTGGGGTCTGTCCTCCCCTCTTCATG